CCCCCCCCCCCCCCCTTTGTTTTTCCCCTTGTTCTTTACTAGTTCTCATGCATGGAATGGGGTTAATTTTCTTCTTTTGATTTTTGAGCTTTTTGCACGTTGGCCCTTTTTCTTTTCCTAACGTTGTGGTTAGAAAGGAAGGAGGGGGGCGAGAGTACTCTTTGCATCAAGCTTTTTCCTTGTTCAGCTGCTTCTTTAAGAATTGTAACCCCCTTTTGTAGTATTAGTTACATTACTTTGACACCTTTTTTTTCGTTCTTGTAACCGATTTCCTGTTCACCGATTCAGATCAGATTTTGGGTCGGTTGGTTGTGGTTCTATAGGAGGAGGGGAGGAGGGGATAAGGGGGGTTAGGGATGAGTCGGTGAAGTAAAGTGATGGTTTGGTGAAGGTGGGAGAGGAGGGTGAGGGGGAGGGAGAGGGAGAGAAGATGAGATGAGATAGATATTAAGAAGTCTCTATTTATTCATATATTTACAAGATAATTTTAACGATTAACTAAAGGAAGAGGTCTTATTACTTGTAGGTTTTTTTATAACTGATTTTTTTTAGGGGGAGGGGAGGAGGGAAAGGAGGGAGGGAGGAAGGAGGCTAAGTAGAAGGGGGGGAGGAGGGAGAGGAGAGATAGATTCAGAAGTCTTTATTTATATATATATTTAAAAGATAATTTTAACGATTAACTAAAGGAGTTCTTATCGCTTATAGTTTTTTATAACCGATTTTTTTTAGAGGGGGGGGGGAGGAGGAGAAGTTAGTTTTAGTTTAGTTAGTTTAGTTTATTTTAAGAGAAGAGGAGGCAGGGAAGAAGTAAGTAAGTAGGAGGGGTAGGAGGGGTATCTTTTAAGCCTATATAGAAGTTAGTATAATAAAAATTAGCCCTGATATACCTGTTTTTAGGTTAGTCGAGTTTTAGTATTCCTACGGCCTATATATACGTATTTAAGCCTTACCGAGCTATATGTACCCTATATATCGTACTTAATTTATAAGCGTATATTAGGACTAGCTTATACGCTATTAATACACGGTCCCCCTTATTAGATACGTTAATTAAAGGGTTTTAATTTATACTTAAAATCGCGATAATAGGTATTATAGTAGATACAAACTATTATATATAAATAAGAGGTCTATATAGTCGCTTTTAACCCTCGATTAGAGCCTATTACTTAAATAATCCCTATTTTCCCTTAGATACTAGATAGCCGTTTCGGGGGGTAGACTATAATTAGCTAGGAGTTACCGGGGTAGGGCGAGGTCGGTGTAACGAATACTCAAACTGGCTAACTAAACTTGGCTGGGTATTCGCTGGTTGGTATGCTATGATAAGAAGAAGACTATCGGGTTGTTCACTTGGAAGTAAACTCGTTACTTGTATCAAAGATGTCAAACTAATATGATAAGATTGATAACTAAGTTGAGCACGAAGCTCCTATCTAATGGCAGACGTGCCAGTCTTATATAGAACCTTCGTTCTCTTTGATACTACCATGGAATGTCAGATCGTCTAGAGTCGCCGCGATGTACTTTGGGTCGCTACGACTCCCTATGATTCCTAGGTCACATGACCTAGACCCCGTGAAATCCTTGGGTCGCTTCGAAGGCCACCAGGACTTCTATTCGACCCTTCTGCTTATATGAAAGAGTATGAATCCTCGGGGTTCTCCTGTCGTCACCACGGACGTCTAAGCCTAAGGTCCCCTTGATTCACGTGTTCGTGACAGTCGGGTGAGGGGTAAGGGGCTAGGGGGAAAATCAGCTATATAACCTAGCGGCTAAGGGCTAAGATAAGTTAATACCTAGTTCTAAATTAAAAAATACTAGGATCTAATATCTTGAACTCTTATTTAAAGTTATTATTCCCCTTTACTAGAGATTTAAGAATTATACTTTCGTTTCTAAGTTAGTATATATTAGAAAGTTAAAGCTCTTATACCTAGAATAAAATACTCCAATAAATCCTAAATAATAACTATAGAGAATACTTAAAATTTCATTCTTTTTCACTTACTTTATTCTACTAAAAAATCACTTTTATTAAACTACTACTTATTGTGACGGAGCTGGATTTCATTTGACATGATTTCATTCGCTTGGCCAAGCACGTGACGAGACTTGGCATTGGAACAACTTAAATAACTTCGCTCCTTTCAGATTCTCTTCTCTCTTTAGTTTGATTTCTTCGTACCTACGGTTTTAGTTCTAGCAATTGATTCAAAAGCTGTATACACTTTATCCTTATGTTGGCATCCGTGACACTTATTACTCTTAAAAGAGTTCTAGTAAAATTACTTTCTTTAATAAGTTATACTTATAATCTTATTACTTACTTTATTACCTAGTTATATATTATAACCTATTAATTACTTTACTACCCGGTTTAATCGAACCTTTGAACTACTTTTAAAGAAGTATTGAATAACTATTCTCCTTTACTATAAACTAATTCTTACTCTTTCTTAGTATTTTTATTTCGGAATAATTTCTTTATTAAACCTTTTAGCTAAAAAACCCTCGATTTATTTCTATATTTATAAATAGCTTTAACTTATACTCTTATAGGCTAGTAAATATACCTTTAAATAACCCTTCTTTCTCTCTCCTCGCTTAGCTTATACTTACTTTATACTATATGTAACTATATACTCTTAGATAACCTAAAACTTATTCTTATTATATTTTAACTAAAATTAGTACCTTTATATAACGTTAGAATTATAAAAGAACTTAATGCTTCTACTTTACTTTACTTATATATTAAAATATACGCCTGGAAAATAAATTAATAGCTCTACTAGCTATAAAGTAAAAGCTTAAAAAAACCTTAAAACACTTAGTTTAATAGTATATTATAATAGAAATAAGGTTTAAAGAAAAATATAATAAAACAAATATACTTAGAATCTTAAAGAACTTTTAGAAGTAAAGAATATATATATATACTAACCCTCTCTCTTTATTACTCGCTTATAATATTTTACTTATTTAGATTATATATATTATATTAGAATAGATAAGTTACTTATTTACTTTAATTCTCGAATAAGTACTTATTAAGAGTCTTGTTTATTTCGAGGGATTTGTAACCGTGTGGAGTGAACCACTGCTTGCTGTGATGAATACGGAGTCAAACGGAAACTGCTGTATTGAGCGAACAACAAAGTGAGGAAGGAAGAGAGTTCCAGAGGAACGAGAGCTTAAATACAGGATGCCAGCAGCGCGCACGTGACACATACTACATGCTGCGCTACACGTGATCAACCCCTAGTTCCTCCAACTCCGTAACAGGATTAGTTATACTAGGGTATTATCTTTCGATCTTATAGCGGTAGTTATTAAATATAAGTACTTATAAGTACTTTTAGCTCTATTATTTAGTACTAGTATATTCTATAAAAGGTACTAGTTCTATTCTAAATACTTCTAGGCTAATAAATAGCTCTTGTATTAGAGCTCTACTTACCTCTTAACTCGCTTCTCTCTTTATTCTACTATTTATATAGCTTACTCTAATAGTCTTCTATTTTATTCTTAATACTTAAGTTCTTACTTTTAGAATAAGCTTTTCTAAGATTTTTTTTTATATATGTATTTAGTAGGAACTAGGCTCTAGAGTAGCTTAGCTAAGCGTTATAGGGCTTAGTAAGTATAGCTTATAAACTAAATAGTTAGTGAGTAAGCTTAGTATAAGGAATATAGAAGGCTAGGTACTAGAACCTTAGTAAGTAAGAGAGTATAATAGATTATATAGGTAAATAGTAATATTGTATTAGAGTGGTTTTAATCAGTGTACGTTTAGTCGTACTTGGGCAATAGATCGGAATTAAATGTAGTTTGTGCGTTGGATTACGACGTTACACGCCTGCAGACACTTGGAGAGTACGCTAGCGTGAAATTGCGACACTGCTGCTAATTCTGACCAGGGAGGCTGTCAAGCCCTATCTCGCAAGGCGCGTTCACTTTTACATTCGCAAGCAACCACTACCACGACACAAGCAGACACACCTTGATCAACCACAAACAACCTTCATAGCTACTTCTGTCATCACGCACAACGTGAGTAAACATCTTTCAAGTCATCTTTGATTGTCTCAGTTTGCGGTATCAATGACAAGCCTAACATTGCGTCTTAGATGGCCTCCTTAACCACCCCCAATGACACCACTGCTGCCACTGCTACTGCTACTGCTACCCCAGCCCCCTCATCCACTGCCAAACCAGCTGCAAGTCAAGTCCTCCAACCTCTCACTCAACCCTTTACCCCATTTCCATCCCAGTATCTGCTCAAAGACTCATCTAACACACATCTCAGCGCACCCCCCTCCCCAACTCCCGCCCCACCCAAACCCATCCCGCC